AGGGGGGGGGGCGACACACCACAAGCATTGAGCTCTCGGCGAACTTTGAAACACAGCAAGGGTACGGGACAAGGGGTCTTTTTTGCTGGCTTATCTCTCCAACACACGGGGCGGTTTGTCTACGGTTGCCCTCCTTTCATTTACGACACGGTGACTGACAGAACACACTAAGGTCATGGTCCGAGATTTGCGTGGACCGGGGAGTAAACCTGTGTGCTTTTATATAAATTAGTATCAAAATACCCCCCAAAAAGTACAGTAAAGCGTAGCACAAATTTACACACGGCCTTTTCAGCACACAAGGGCTACAGGCAGACGAGGGCCTCTCATGTCACGTTTACATCTGGCAGAGAAGTGCCAAAAGGATGGAGAGTCAGAGTCACAAAAACTCCTCGGAACAACCAGTATTCAGAACCTACGTACTGATTCAAACCAGAGTCCGCCAGATCGATAAAACTGACTGAGCGAAAAGCACCTCCCAACCATCATTAGTGATACAATGTTTCATTCGCACACGTTTCTTTCCGCGTGAGTGAAATCCCACCAACTTTTTAATTACGAACAGCGCAGGTGTGTGAAAAGCGGGAAACGCCCTGAGATACCACATAATGTATAACGAGCACTTGTCAAACAATTTAAGGAGTGCGCACGAGACACTTGCAGCTTCTAAGCACCATGTCAACACGTAAAACGTGAGAGTAGGCTTGAACGGCAAAACATCTGTGCGAGTCCAAAGAACTATGGATAAAAGCTACTCACTCCCCGAAGTCTCAGAACCAGGCAACAATGGACGGGTCTCGATCTCTCTCTCTCTTTCTCCCATTATCTCAGATGTCCATATCAATCAAACACATACGCACATAACGCATACAACACTGAATGACAGAAAGAGACAGCTAGAGATGGTGGAGATGAAGAGTGAGACAAAGAAAAAGAGAGCGAGAGGAAGAGGGACAATTTGTGGAGAAGAAAAGACAATGTGTCAGGAGGAGAGAATTTACATTTCCCTAATAATTATCTAATCGGACGTGAACACTGACTGCTATCGAATTGACTATTATCTAATTCTGCTGACATTCTGAATGCGTACTTTTGTATAGCTCAGTGTTGTAAAGAATTTCAAAACGTTATAATGCGCCGTGGATATGATGACAGCTGACAGAAGTACGACCATTGGACATTCATTAGCATTTTCGAAATCTCGCTGACTCGTCTTTTTCAGACGACCCAGAGAAGCATCAAGCAAAACAAATATTATTATAATAATATATTATTATATGTACATGTAATGACTGACTTCACAAGACGGAACAGTTCCAGTAGAAACGCCGTTCACTCATTAACGTGCATGGAAGCAGACAAGTCAAACAAGAAAAAAAAATAGAAGGAGCAGACCACACGATAACACAAACCAGAAGCAGAACGGCACTGTTATCTTTGTTCAAAACTCTAGACACCATTCAAGACACAATACCACCTTCAGCAGTAAGTAAGAGACCAACGTTCAATTTAACTATTTTCTTTGTTTGTTTGAGTAAAGAGAAGCACGTGGGTGGTTGGCGGGAGCTCTGGCGTGGTTTGCTTCTTCTTTCCTACCAAATACCTATCGCCATTATCTCCCCTTCTTTTTTCTTTTATGTTTGTGACTATCTTGTAACACTTCTAATCTTCTGGCGCTTATGACCTAATGCAGTTGCGAGGGCTGTAAAACCTCTACTAAAACTAAAAGAGAAGCACATCGACTCAATAATGGTCGTTTAGAGCTGGAAGACAGACAGACAGACAGACAGACAGACAGACAGACAGACAGACAGACAGACAGACAGACAGACAGACCGAGGGGAAAGTAAAGAGGTAGGACCCACTAGTGACGCCCTCAAACCACCCAGGGAGATAATACTTCGCTAACGATAAATGAACCAAAGACATTTTTGTATAATATGCTATGTTTGAGGAGAGGCTTTTATTTGCCCAAAGTTCAATTCGTCAGGTGTGCATGTTTAAACCCTCGCAGGGGATTCGATTTGGTACAACTCACATCGTAGCCTAGCACAACACTGACTGAGCAGCGTGACCAGTTGATACGGGCAGTCAACGTCGTAATAGCTCCGTCAAGTGACGTGACTAGTGCTGCCCGAGGACTAATGACCCTAACAGGTGATAGAGCGGGAAAAGAGGGGATGATTTACTGGTCACTGGCCGTTTCTTTGCCTCTTGACGGTTGCGTCACCTGACAAGTCTGTCCGGTAAGGACGTGGAGATTGGGCCAGTGAGATGATCCATAAACACAATGCGTGTTGCCTCAGAGGCCTCAAAGTCGGGATCACCAACAATAGATACGGGTCACAGGGAGAGGTCTCCATAGCTTTTGAGGGGTTCGTTTTAACACTAGAGCCGGTCATTAGGGCAGCTGTGAGGCGAGTAAACGATCTCAGTGGAGACAGACAAGAAACCCAAGGTATCTCACTTTCTCCATATTGGAGTCCTAGATGTGCGTTCGGGTACTGGGACTTGAGAATGAAAAGTTGTGTTCCACGCCCAGCCCCCTTTTAATTTCTTTTTTTTTTAAATTCATACAGCGCTCCTTCTGCTCGTGAAATGTAGGTTATAGCCATTAAACAGGAAGACCGACAAGACCGACTATTCTGCGACTTGCATTACGATGATAGTAACAACAAAACAGGAAAGAAGTAGTACGAGAAGACCATACTTCGGTCATTCAGTGTCACTGTGACCAAGCAAATGAATGCCATGACCTTGCCCCCTCTATGCCGTTTGCGTAGACAAACGACGCAGACAAAGCTAATCCGAAAGCAAACCTGGATTTACTTCTCATAATACTAGCCCTCGACAAGTCTTTCAGGTAAAATCCC